ACCTGACCACACCTGTACCTGCGCACACCTGTCCAGGCTCACCTGTGCGCAGCATTTCACACCCATTCACACCTGTCTGTACCTGTTCACACCTGCTCACACCTGTCCACACTCACCTGTCTCACCTGTGTCACTCACCTGCCCACACTCACCTGTTCATATCCATTCACACCTGTCCATGTCTCACCTGTCCCATCTCACCTGTCTCACCTGTCTCATCTTTGTCACACACCTGTCCGTACCTGTTCTCACCTGTCCATGTCACACCTGTCCATGCTCACCTGTGCACACTCACCTGCGCACAGCACACCTGTCTCACCTGTTCACACCTGTCCCACCTGTCCCATCTCACCTGTTCAGTCCCACCTGTGCATCTCACCTGTCTCACCTTTTCACACCTGCCCACACTCACCTGTTCACACCCATTCTCACCTGTCCCTGTCTCACCTGTCCCTGTCTCACCTGTTCTCACCTGTTCTCACCTGTCTCACCTGTCCATGCTCACCTGTCCACACTCACCTGTCTCACCTGTCCATTCTCACCTGTCTCACCTGTCTCACCTGTCCACACTCACCTGCGCACATCACGGCCGCGTCCTCGCCGTGGTGGCAGTTGTGGCTGCCCCAGACCCTCACCTGAGCACACCTGAGCACACCTGAGCTCACCTGAGACACACCTGAGCTCACCTGAGACACACCTGAGCACACCTGTTCTCACCTGTCCCTGTCTCACCTGTCCCCCCTGTTCTCACCTGTCCCTGTCCCACCCTCACCTGTCTCACCTGTCCATGCTCACCTGTCTCTGTCTCACCTGTCTCACCTGTCCATACCTGTCCCTGTCCCACTTGTCTCACCTGAGCACACCTGAGCACACCTGAGCTTCACCTGAGCTTCACCTGAGCACACCTGAGCACACCTGAGCACACCTGGGCACACCTGAGCACACCTGAGCACACCTGAGCACACCTGAGCTTCACCTGAGCACACCTGTCTCACCTGTCTCACCTGTACTCACCTGCGCACATCACCCCCGCGTCCTCGCCGTGGTGGCAGTTGTGACACCTGAGCACACCTGTCACACCTGTCCATGTCTCACCTGTCCACACTCACCTGTCTCACTCGTCTCACCTGTCCCTGTCTCACCTGTCTCACCTGTCTCACCTGTCTCACCTGTCTCACCTGTGTCACTCACCTGCACACAGCACCCCCGCATCCTCACCGTGGTGGCAGTTGTGACACCTGAGCACACCTGTCTCACCTGTCCATTCTCACCTGTCCATGCTCACCTGTCTCACCTGTCCATTCTCACCTGTCCACACTCACCTGTCCACACTCACCTGCGCACAGCACCCCCGCGTCCTCGCCGTGGTGGCAGTTGTTGTCCCCCAGACCCTCACCTGAGCACACCTGAGCACACCTGAGCACACCTGAGACACACCTGAGCACACCTGGGACACACCTG